TTTTTGTTCCCCAGCCCTATCATCCAGCTAATCCATCAATTTCAATGCTTACTGAAATAGGCAAATATACAGGGCAAAAATCAATCCAAAGCTTTATATATGTAGTGAACAACTCTAAGCTGATCATTACCACTCAGAAAGAAGATCTTGGAATTACAGTAGATGATTCCATGAAAGCACTGGGTTCATACACGGCAGTGGTCAGAAAATCAAACAGAATGATTCTCTAGGATTTGTTAAGAACAAAGCAGAACAAGAACATAGGAAACCTCAGTATGCCTCTCTCTAAACTACGCATCTGGATTACCTGTGCAATTCTGGTTATTCATCCCAAAACCAACATAGTAACCTTGAAAACATTCAAATAAAGATGACATGCTTGATAAAGGATATGAGTAAGTTTTGTGAAAGGACAGACTAAAGCTGAAGATGGCTCTGAAAAAGAAATCACAGAGTAGGAGTATGACAGAAATTTACATTATCATAGGCAGAAAGGAATAGATTGTTCCTATTCTCTTCCAAAACAAGAGCTTAAGAGCCACAAAATGAAACTAAGAAGTAGCAGGTTCATATAATATGAAGTTAATCTCTGGAATTCCTTGTTCAAAAGTTCTGTGGACAACAGATACTTGTACATACTGAAACTGACTGGACAAACTCACAAAAGAAAAGTATGTCTGAAGCTATTATAAACTACCTCTAAGGCTATTGTAAAGAAATACTACTTCTGTCCCAAAACATTTCTGAGATTAAATTTAAGGGAGGCTGAGAGATCATGCTGAGGAAACAGCATTGCACGATCATCCTGTTCTTGTTCTCCTCCCTAGACTTTTTCATGTTGGCTAATATAAGAAAGAAGAAAGTCGGTTACATCAATCTTTGGTCTGACCTAATATAGTTAAACTTCTTTGCTCAGAGTCCTAAATCTACACCAGAAATTGAACACCTTAAAGACAGCAACACTTAAAAGAGCTATTTGATTCCTGTTCCAAAAATAGTATCGCACCATAAAATTTCTCTCTCAAATTCACAAAAGAATTTAAAGTGGGTGAATATAAGAGATGTTAACAGGACACACTGGGAATTGTATTAAAAGTGTATATATGTAGGCAAATATGCAGACACACATTTATAAACACAAATATGCATTTCATCAGAATCATTTACTAGAAAAGCAGCATTTCATGTCTTTCACATTGACATGCTGATGTCTTATTTCTAAACAACAGGACACAGAAGACAAGTCAAACAAGAAGTTATTTCTCTTTTTGACCTATGGAAGCCAGGATCTTTGAAAAATTGTTATACTTTACTGAAAAGGGAGATTCAATATATATATTTTTCCTGTTACTGTGCTGAAGTACATCTAGATGTACAACATTTACATTGTTTAAGTAGGAATAATCTCAATTTACTAATGATGTGCAATATATTATAAGGAGAAATATGTTTCAAGGGAAGAGAGGGGCTTTAATTACGAAGCAATCCTTTCATAAGAAAGATGAAGTTGCTTCAGGACTAAGGAGGAGGCTGAAACTTCATATTAGGAAGGTTATTTCAATACCTGTTAAGGAATAAATTTACAAAAATTAATCAGATTGTACAGGAAAAATAGAGGATGCTTAATGACCCTGAAAAGAAATTAATAAAAATCCAGAGATTCTGTCATGTTGAGAAAACACAGGGATTAGAATAATCCGAAGAAGACACTGCAATGTGTTTACATTTGAAATACCACACTGCTATTAGGACTTACTAAGATTTTGTTTTTCAGGAAAACCTACAAGAAACAAGTATCATAGTTTGATTAAGGAGATGAAATTTTTTTTAAAAATTTAAAAAAAACGCACAATACACCACTGAAATCCTTATTTGGATCAGTTATGCTTGCTAAAGAAAAAAAAACTTCCAAGTAAGTCAAACACAGACTGAATTACAATAGAGACAACAAAAATATCATCAACCAATTAAATTCTGAATTTTCCATTTTAAATTGCTATGATCAATATAAAAAAATTAAATATACAATTCATAGTTGCAATCTCACAAGTGACTGCATCAGACCATTTTATGTCAAAAGTTGAGGCTGATAATATAATAAGAACATAATAACCTCAGCAGGAGATTTGTTCCCCAGTAACAAATGACTAAAGGTGAAGCTGGTAAAAGTAATGAAAAGATTTAACTAGGCAATATATTAACAAAATACTTAGAGAGGTATTGTATCACCCTGAATAGCTAAAAGATCCATTAAATGCAATACAATAGCTACGTCTGTGTTAATAAGTTGATGTATTTTAAAGGTTATAATAAGAAGAACTCCCTTTGGAAAATGAAAGCAAACACAAAACAAGTGAATTAAATACATTCATAAAAATTTTCTGCATGGCAATTTAAATCACTGACTACATCACTGTACTCAGTGGTTTCATCAAAAAAATTCAGTATTTCTCCTAGAGTACCAAGTGGAAACAGTTTTGGGAACACGACTGGAATTCATGATGGATTTGGGGCATTGTATAAATTAACTGGCAAAGAGAGGAACACACACTGAAAGTGCTGGCAACTTTTTAGGGGTATTGGGGAGGAGTATTTTGTGCAAAGGAACAATAAAACCAGCATGGGAAAAGCGTGAAAATATTATTTTTAGAAACTAGACCTTAAAAATGAGGACACAGCTATGTGATGATGTGAGTGTGCCTGGCTGCAACGTATAATAGCATTTCCAAAGGATGAAAGGTTTGTAAAGAAAGACTTACGTGACTTGTAAACTTTCTGCTGTTAGATTATTCCACATGATCTCATTAGCTTGAAGGTTTTCATTTTCTTCTAGTAAAGACGTATCAAACTCTATTTCTTGTTCAACAACTTCTGATGACCTTTTAGTAAATGTTATATTTTCAAAATTAGTATGTATCTTTGAGTAGGTCATAAAGCAAATCACTATGTTTTGAATTATTTTAATAACTATAGTTAAATTCACACATGAAATAAAAGAAAAGGTAGCAACTGGATACATATTCTTATTCCTTTGAACATAGAACATAGTCTTAAAATCATACCAGATAATAAAATGCCATACAGCTCTTTGCATCAACATCACAGCATAACCAAGGTTCCCAAGTGGTATCAATGTGAACAGGTCCACTCTTAGCTGATTCTGCTATAAACCTGCATGTGACAATTATTAATTCCCACACAACAACAAAAAAAAGTCTTAGGACTATCTCTGCATATACTAACACAGAAAAGGAGTTCAATAAATAGAAAATACATTTTATTTTTAAAGTAAAAAACTTTCTTGCACTATCTGCATACTCTGTAGTCTCAGGCATTGCTCAACCTGCAATACCTGCAGAGTACACAGAGGCACCTACAGTTCACTTTAAACTAGAATTTGGACAATAAAAGAAATAAAGCAGAGAAAATTAATTTTTCCCAGAATGAAACTGCATTCAAATAAACAGTAAATTAGCTCACACTGAACCCGGACTGTTATGTATAATGTGCTGTCAGTACCAAAGTTACGGCTCTTCACATGTAATAACAGTAGCTGGAATTTCATTTTTCTAGAGCCAGACAACAAGATGGATGGTTAAAGAAACAGGTTAAAAGCCTGATTTTCAGTCAGCTTTCTGTACGTGCAAGTAGAATAATTTTCAAACTAGGATAAAACTTTACAAGGAACAATGTAAAAGGAACCAAACAGAAACAAACTGTGATCACTTAAGCAGTGTAGCCGTTTAATGCAGGGTGTTCTCAAGAAGAAACATGAACATGCACACCAAGATGAAAACATATACCTGTGAGTATCTATGAAGTCATTATACTCAGAGTTGGGGTCTATCTGCTCCACCGAGGTCTGGATCTCTTTATGGACATTCACAATTTCTTCTGTTACAAGGCTGGTGATCTGGCTATACTCATCCAAGATTCCTTTTCTAGAAATAAAAAAAAAAAAATCTAGTGTATAACATGGCACTGAAGGTATAGATGGCATTGAAGATGCTTCAAACTTTCAATTTGCTGTTTCTACAAACTCTTGTTGCAACTAGCTAAAAAGGGAAAAAACAAGACAACATATTACTCAAAGAAATAACATTAACTGTGGCCTTTTCTTTACAGATTGGCTATGAGCAAGAAGTCTCTAACACCATGCTCCTTGTATTGATTTCAGTGCATCTACCTACTGGGTAGCTAAACTGAAAACTGTAAAGATTACAAGGAAAAGGAATGTATATAGCTCATTGATGACACCCTTCTTCACAAAGGACTTATCATGCTTCTTATAACCTACACTAAAGCTTTTCATGTTCTGATTGACAAAATGATTATATTCTGGCATAAGGCAAAACGAGTCACAAAATAGTGTGCATTTCCTTTAAAAACTCATTTTCTTTATTAATTATCTTCTTTCATATATTTATTTTATGATGTCATTCAGACAAAAATAACCATAAACCACAGCCTTGTCTTCACCTGTTTCTGAGAGTGGGAAAAAAGAAGTGAACAGGGAACGGTAAAAGAACAGGTGATACCATGCTACTACTGTTAACAGCACCCAGCGACACATTCTCAGAACACCTCCCTATTCTCTTTAACTTTCAAATTTCCATAAATGAACCCTCATCATAATTTCCTATTTCATTTTATCTTTGACAAATTTTCTAGCTTGCCAGTCTCTGAAGCATGGTAAGCTTTCTTAAAATACTGATGAATTTTGGCCAGGGCAGAGGAACATACAGAGAAAAAGGTATCAGTAGATTTTTCCTGGACAAGACCTCAAGTTATGTTTGCTCTGTAAAAAAGTTATGTGATTGTATTTTTTCAATACTTTTTCTGAAGAGAAAACAGGCAGCAGAAGCCATTAAATCTTGCCTTGCCTGTGCACAACATGTACGAAAAGGTTCCAGAAAATAGTTCAAAGAGTGTGATGAAAAGATAGGCGAATGTCAATGACAGCAATGCTGTATCAAAGAGAAAGGGAATCTATGTCAATTACAATCGGGGGGGAAAAAAAAAAAACACACATATTAGCAAAGTTAATCTACACATCTTCAAGTTTACTGAACTAATTCATCTGCAAAATGAGGATTAAAGAAGTATGTTTCATACAGATCATCACACCAAGCTCTACATCTGAAATCACCACCTGTCTTTGTACACCAAAGATAGTAGAAAGGAGTAATTTTCCAATACATTCAGATCTCACAAAAAATGTCTATGTAGTGACAAAAATTTTTTTTTACAGATTTTTATTCCAGACATTGCAAAGGTGAGTGGGTTCAATAGGTTCTTGTTCTATCATAAAATTCTTAAGTGAATTATCATAACTCACAATTCTGAAAAAAACATCTTAATTACAGAACACAAATTGAATTGTAGCCTTCTGCTGTGATTTTACACATAAAATTAAGATTTAAAGGACTGTACAGAGATAACTACAAAGGTTTATTTCATTTCGATACCTGCACCAGAATCAAAGGAATTAATATGACACTGCATAGGGCAGTTAACGGTGTCTGCAACGCATAAGCATGTAAACTGTGAAATCTGCAACTCTCCCTCACTTCTTGTGTGCTCAAGTCAAGATAGATGTAGACTTCAGAGAAGTTAAGAAAATGAGTTAAAGAAGAGTGCTTCACATTTAAATGAACAATACCTACCAAAAAAAAAGTACCTGCCCTTTCTTTTAGGTTAAGTGATTTAAATAACACCCTAGAAAAAGACTTACAGAACAGGCTCCCTAATCAACTCCCATTCTTCAGGAAAGACAAAGAGATGGCATGGTGGTTACAAACCAGAAAAGGGGGCTTAAAGTCCTCATTGTCTGTTCTCATCAGTTTCCATACCTTCTGTAACGACGTAAAAAATGATCTTTCAGGAAAAAGGTAATTGTATTTTTAAGGTTGGATTCCTTACAGTGAAGATCAGGTTTATACGATCCTGTTACTTCTCTCACACATATGATTAACCATGCATTTGCCTGGCCTTTCTCCACAGTGACTTTCAAGACAGTTGGCCAGTTTAAACCAAATTTGTTGCCAGTGGAATTTCATAAAAATAAGACTACCAGAGAGGCAACAAACTTGCTTTAGTATATCAGCTGAAGGACAAAGCATGAGCTCAGCTATAAACACTGCAGTAATCTGTAAGATTTTAAAGTTTTATGAGAAGACAATGTCTTGCTAGAATGTTTATGTAACCACTCAAAACTACTGTCTGCATTATTTGGATACACTTTGGTCAACTGAAAGATGAAAACATCTTCTTTCATTATCTCTTGATAGACAATTAATTAATCACAGTTTATTATTTTCAAATAATCCTATAAATTAATTACAATACTATATATATAAAATTCCGCAAGTTAAAAATATATAAAAACACATCTTACAGGGCTTTAATCATTTCCTCTTGCATCTTCTGTAGTGAATCAAGTAACAGAGGAAGTGTAGTATCATAATACTGGTGTTGATGTAACTGTGCTCCTTTCAGTGCCAACACATACTGATTATGCAACATATGAAGCTTCATAGTGGCTTTATCACATCGATCTTTGGCTTTCTCAGTCTCCTTCCCTAAGAGAAAACAAAAAAAGAAACATGCACATGGTGATTTAAAAGTATACAAACTCAGAGATGACATATATCTAGTAGATTTATGATAAGTTTGCACCTTTCTGTACAGTAGCCTTTTCAAGTTACTTCTCCGAACAAGGTAAAATCTGACCATTTTCACGTCATTATGTCTTGGTTTTCCAATTAAAAGACTAAGTAAGAAAAACCTGCTGTATTTCCTTGGAGCAGAAATGAGAGAATTCTTTATCTAAAAGTATATGAAAACCACTATCTTCCATATCTATATAAAAATAATGTAACTATGAGGAATAAAGAACAAAACTCATACACATGACTATCAGAAGCTAATCTTTTATTTGTCTCAGAGCAAATCAAAATTTTTAATGAAGAAAGTAAGAGACGTCCTACTAGGTCAGATCCATGATTCATTAAAAATCTGTCATTTATTGTGAGCAAAAATTCTATCGCTACATATCACTCCAATAAAACAATGGTGTAGTCTACAAAGGAGTAGCTGAAATCTCACATTACTCCTCTCCAACATGGGCAGCTTCTCTATTACAACTTAACATTTCCTTATGACTGTCAGTATCCTGATCAGGAGGTTGGCTCTAAAATCTCAGCTCTACACTATTAGAGAGTAGAAGTCCTCAAGTTCATGCTGACAAGACCAGTTCAGTGCTGAACCTGAGAGTCACAACGTACTTCAAGAGGTCACCTATTCTATTGTTACCCACAGTAATTGCACAACTATGTGGCATATGTTTTTATGAGTTTCCCAAGATCTCCAAAAACAGGTAACTTTGCAACATCCTAGTACCATTCAGGTCTAGTGCTATGCTAACTGAAAGCATTCCCCCACCTCCCTGCCCCTTCACTCTCCAATGTAAATCTTCATTGCTTTAATTTAAACCCTTACTTACTTCATATGTGCCATGGGTATGAAAAACAGATTCTACCATCCTCTGCAATCCATTTTTGATATATTAGATTACACACTCTCCTCTTCTACCCAGCCTTCTAAACTTCTTATTAATGGACCTACAGGTCTTCCATTGTACATCCTGTTGTCTTTTTGCAGTTGACTGGTTCACGATCTTACACAACTGCAACTTCAGTCAAGACTCAAAGCCAAAGAACAACTTTACATTCTAGATAAGTCTAGCTCTTAAAAAAAAAAAATTTAAAAAAAGAGAAAAGCATGTCTTTTTTTGAATACCACACAAACATGACATCACTGATTACTTTTGCTTTGGCACCTGATCCCATCAAGTAACACTATTTTTTTGAGACTCATCTCTCAGTTTCTTAAATTAACTCTACAGCTGTCCTCCAGTGTACTTTCAATGCCTTCAAGGCATAGTGATGCCTGGGAATTTAATAAACAAACTCTGAAACAAAGTAATCAAACACTGAAAGACCACCCAAACCTAATTTCAAAGTCTCATAGAATACATTATTCTGACAGGACCTCATTAACAACCATTCTCCAAGTAGCTTTACACAAACAGATTTGCACCTTTATTAGACTATTTTCAACTTGATCACACACTGCCCTTGTCATAAAAGGATATGGTATTATTTTGACATGACTCCTTACTGAGTCACAGAAGCTTTTATTCAAACTGTTATCTTCTTGATATTTATGAATTGCCTCATTACTTTTTCAGGAACTAAAGGCATTTTAAATGAATCGTGTATCTGTAATTATCAAGTGCAGATTCACAATTACCTGCACAGATAAACATACATTAACTAAACCAATCTCACTCAGACCGCCACATTTCTTACGATTGTAAAATAATTTAGGTAATAAAAAAGATTGTATTTTAACATTCCTACCACCTATCACAAAATAGTTGAGAAAAAAGAAAAAGGAAGTTGAGAAAAAAGAAAAATTCACAGCTAAGTTGCAGAACAGAGGCTTGAGAGTAGACCTTGAAGAGCTGAAATTGTGTCATATGAGGAATACACAAAGGATAGTGAACTCCAGTAAATGACAATACAGAAACACATTTAGGCACATAAAAAAAAAAAAGTTGAGGGAAAAACTTGTAAAACAGTAACAAATCCTCTTTCATATACATTGGAGTCAGCAAGCTCATCGGAATATGTAAAGAATAGTGTCTATATAAAAGAAGCTGGCGGGGGGGGGGAGATTTTTTTTTTTGCATCTATGTTCACTATGAAAGACCTTCAGAGATTTCTAGGCTGAAATGTCTACTTATGAAAGAGTCACTGAATCTCTCTCTTTTGAGGTGTCAGAAGAAAAGTTTAGAGAATAAATGAAATAAGAAAAAATTAAAAGGACTGGATGGTGTTTACGTTCGGAACTTTAAAAGAACTTGAGGAAGTTTTAGCTGAAATACTATGATTAGTTTTTACAGGAGGAAGTAGGTACTGAATGGAGTGCTCCAGGAATATCAGTTGGGTGCCAATACATGAGGTGGCAAAGATGATGAAGATGTTGTCTGAAGGAAGCAAATATGGGAACCAAATGTGAAGAACTGGAAAAAAACCTTAAAGTGTGCTAATTAAATTATAAAATGGTAAATTATAGCATGAGTATTTATAGAGATGGATATGGGGAAAAAACTATTCAAGTTTAGTAATCTGCTGTAAGCTTACTGAACGCACTAAGGAATGAGATCATGAGGTTAGTATAGAAAGATTGATGGAATTGTTAAGGTAGCATTCAGCAGCCATTGGACAAGATGTTAAATGCCACTGATTAAATCCACATAAAGCAGTATGCAGTTCTTCCATGTCAAGGAGGACATATTTGAAATGAAAAAGGTTTAGAGATGGGCATCAAGCATCAGAAAAATAGGAAGTACAAGGAATCCAGAAGGAATGACTGAACTTAGGACTCCTGAAGCACCAGAAGACTGAGGAGTAACACGTGAGAAGGGACACACAGTCAAGAGACCTTCCCAAACTCTTTCAATGTAACAACTGTAAGGCATTATATGGAAACAGTATGTACTTTGTTAAAAACAAAAGACATTCTTCTTCAACTAGCATGTAGCTAACCTATGCAATCCTCTGGTCAAACTAAGCAAGAAAAATTTACGCAGCTTAAAAGTGAATGGACATATGTACACAAAAAAGTCCTGAAGAGGTGCTAAGAACGCACTTCTTACTCAGGTATTCCCTACCCAACAAATTAGCATGAAGTTGAGACAGCTATCTGCTTGTCCCCTCATATGGCTCTCCAGACATTTGCTACCTCACCACTGTCAGCTACATTTTAAACACAAAGTAATAAAAACTACTTTTTTAAAGGATTTTTAAAATACTTTTTAAAAGTATTTTTCATTTAGGTATGAATGAAACAATCCACTTAAAAAATTTCTGTAGAACTGTTTTGTAGAGACAACAATCTCAACTCTTTCTAAAACTTTTGCCAGATATAACAGGTTTTGTCCTTGGCAAACAATCAAAACTCATGTTTCATGGGAAAACTCCAATTTTTTCATTTCCCCACTGCATAAAAACATTGCACTATTTATTTCTAAATTAAACATAGATCATTTGAAGGAAAAAAAAAATCCAACACATCACACCCAGAATAACATCCCAGAAGTTAGATACCACCGATCAGGTAGGTGTCTGACACCAGTGTACCTTTATATAGGATGGTATACAATTACATTTTTGCACCTGCCTTGAAGAATAAATTCCTTCTCTATATATATTATTCCTCAGCAGAACACCTCAATTAATTTCAGAATAAATCGAAGTATCATACACACTCAGTTTCTAAATACAGTAGGCTACAGTGTCAACCTGGTCATCTGCAGATCAATACATGTACACTATAAGGTCTTTCTGGAGAATGAGAGGCAAATGAACATTAGGAAATAACGGAAGGTGACTGAAGCGGGTTTGGAAGGGAAGAGGTCAAGTGGTAGTTACAGTATAGGAACTGGATGAAAGCAGAGAGGACAAGGTGGCTGGAAGTCAGAGCTGGAAGCACTGAGTTTTGCTTGCCCCAGCCCATTCCCTTGGGAGATACACTGGCCAGGGAAACAGGGAGAGCGAGACACAGTGGTAGCAGAGGGAGAAATGCTGGATTATTTATTGCATTTATTGTATGTTCGGCCACTCCTACTCAAGTATGCCATAGATTACATAATGCAAAATTATCTCCATACATAATAGTTTAAGAGCGTAAAACCTACAATGCAAAACCTTGTCAACACATGTCCTTAAAATACATCCCCTATCAACTTTCAGCTTATCAAACTAAGTGTATGTCATATTATACCATGTACTATCAGTACAGGCTTCTGAACTATGAACCACAACAAATAGCCTTCAACAGTTAAACTAAATTGAAAATTTACACTAAAAATTATCACAACCACGTAACTAGAGACTTACCAATACTCACTCTCTTTCAGAAACCTCATTAATGGCTAAACTATCCCATTTTCCCATCTGCCTTGAGGACTAAATTACTTCGCGATACACTATTCCTCAGCAGAACACCTCAACTAATTGCAAAATAAATCAAATTATCATACACACTCAAATTTTAAATTGTCCTGGTTTCAGCTGTGATAGAGTTATTTTTCTTCCCAGTAGCTGGTAAAGTGTGTTTTGGATTTAGTGTCAAAATAATGTTATTAACACACTGATGTTTTAGTTGTTACTAAGCAGCACTCAGGACAAGTTAAGGATTTTTCAGTTTCCGATGCTATGCCAGCAAGCATGTGTACAAGAAACTGGGAGGCAGCATGGTCAGGACAGCTGACCCAAACTAGCCAAAGGGATATTCCATACCATAGAACCTCATGCTTGGTATATAAACTGGGGGAGTTGGCCAGGAGGAGCCGATCACTGCTTGGGAACTGGTTGGGCATCGGTCAGTGAATGATGAGCAACTCTATTGTGCATCACTTGTCTTTTCTTGGGTTTTTATTCTTTTGTTATATTCCTTTTCATTACTGTTATTTTTTTATTATTATTATTGTTAGTATTATATTTCAGTTTAC